GGGGATTTGATGGTAAAGCCTTGAAGGTTGCATTCAGCCCTACAAGTCTTCTATCTTTATCCCTCTTTTCTTCTTTAAAAACCCTTTGATCCAGGTTAAAGCTCTAGAGAAGTCGACTTTGCTGGATCTTGTATATGGCTACTGTATTGAGTTCTTACTATGTGCTGTATGTTGCATAAGGGACTTTATCCTATTATTTAATGCCCACAACAGCCCTAGAAGACAGTATGTATATATATATATGTATATATATATATGTGTGTATATATATATATGTATATGTATATATATATATATGTATATGTATATATATATTTTTTTTAATAGAGGGAGAGGGCAGGGAAGGGGTGGGGGACTGTGGATTTTACAGGGATTCTCTCCATTGCTGTAAAACTCTGCAGTAAATTTTGGCAGTGCTGGTAGGCACACAGCTTCATTGGATGTGACGGGCAGATTTGGTGCCCTGGAGCTACTAAGACTTACAAGATACCATTTTTTATCTCAAGTTGCTTAAGGTTGAGCATGGAAGTAGAGATAGCAACTCATAAAACTATTCGATAAAAATGAAGTGGGGCAAATTTTGTGGGGGACATGGGACCTGATCTGGGCCTCGGGTTGAATTTGGGTAGCGGAAGCGAGTGGGAGACATGTCAGTTATACACACATTGGGGTGGTGAGGAATGTGGGGACATAGTGCTGACAGACAACCTGGGAGCCGAAATAGGTGGGATGTGTGCAGGAGACAGTGAGGAGATCAGGTTTACAGAGCAGAAGGTGCTTGGTGGAGAGCAGTGGGGATATGGGGAAAGGCAGAAATGCAGCCGGCTTCCAAAGGGTTATGACAGACAGGCTGAGGACTTTTCACGGTAGGCCATAGGGACACCCCATATTGGAAAGCAGGGACATCGTGGGATTGGAGCGGAGAGAGCATGGCCGTAGGGACCAGACAGGAGGCTCTTGCAGTGGTGTGAGACCTGCCGCTCAAGCAATGCCCAGCAACACGCCATGATTCCTGCTGTGCAGATGAGGGCATTGAGACCCCAGAGGGGTCAGAGCCCCTCTTTAAGGCTCATTGAGTGGCATGTGGTGCAGCCAGTTACAGGACCCTGGTCGTCATGATGCCGTTGACCTGTCTTACTGATGTAGCCTTGAGCGTGAGAACTCCTTGTGGACAGGGAAGAGGACGATGACAACTCACAGGGGACTCTGTCCTCTTAGACCCACATTTTTACATTGGGGCGATGGGGAAACTGACTTTTGTTAGGCACTGGACTGTGTCTGGTATTGTGCATGAAGCTTTCTATATGTGGTCTCTTTCAGTCCTCATAGCAGTCATAAGATATGTGGGGGTATTACTATTTACAGGTAAGAAACTCAGGTACAGGCCTGTTTGAGGTCTCACAGCCAGTAATTGGTAACACCAGGTTTTGGACCTAGGTTTCTCTTTGCCCAGTTCATACATTCTCTCCCTGAAGGTGGACCAGGGTGCCAAGAGGTGACCATCTGGGGCATGGGGGATCCCTGTACAAATTCTAGGAGTCTTAAGAACTCACATCATGATGGTAAGCTAGCTGCCTGCCTCCCCTGCTATAGGACACGGTTGTTCCCAGCATCTGCAAACTTCCCTTAATCTGCCCCATGGTGGTAGCCTCTTCCCACTGCCTCGGCATGTGTGCTTGTGTGAAGACTGAACTGATGTCCTGTGGGAGTGTGTGTGTAGGGGTATGTGAGTGTGATGGTATGTGGATGTGTGCATGACCGTATGTTGGTGTGGGTGTGTGTGGGTGGGTGGGTGTATGTGTGTGTACATATATACTTGGGTGCATATGCACACACTTATCTAACAGATACATAGGGTAATGCTGAATGTCCAGGAGTTTATAGTCAGTGGGGAAAAATAGGTGTGTAAAGGGATGAATGGTAAAAAATTTAGGCAAAGTGTAGTGGGAGTTTAGGGAGGTTTTAACTTTTGAATGGGGCAGACATGTGTCCGGTCAGGTGCACATAGGTTGTCCAACCAAAGTTTTAAAGGCTAAATAAAATTTAGCCAGCTGGGCAAATACCTTTCAGGAAGACGCCCTTGTGTGACTGTATTGTGATACAGAAGAATGGTGTGTCCAAGAAATGCAGGGCATTCCAAGGAGGTGCTTGCTTGGCCTAGAAAGTGCATCATAGAGGGAGAAGTGTGGGCAGCCTAATCTTTTTTTTTTTTTTTTTGAGTTGGAGTCTCACTCTGTCACCCAGACTGGAGTGCAGTGACTGCTCCCAGCCACCGCAGCCTCGACTTGCTGGGTTCCAGCGATCCTTCCGCCTCAGCCTTCCAAGTAGCCGGAGTTACAGGCGTGCGCTACCACACCCAGCTGATTTTTTGATTTTTTGTAGAGATGAGATCTCGCTGCCCAGGCGGGTCTCGAACCCGCAGGCTCAGGCAATCCACTCACCTCAGCCTCCCAAAGGCGCGGGATTACAGGCTGAGCCACCAAGCCCGGCTGGCAGCCTGATCTTAAAGAGCCCCATGGACTCTGGTAGGCATTGGGATTGTAAATCTCAGGAGGTAAACTGTCTTTGAATGACTTTAGGTGGCAGAGGGACACGATCAGTTCTGTTTTGGGAAGATGATCGTAGAGGTGGAAGCAGTGCTCTCAAGTTCATCTCCCTTGAATCTGGCTATCAAGCTAGGGATGCTGATTGTCACAGACCAGCCTAAGAATGAGATGCTGGGGGAATCAGTCAGGAGACTCCCCAGGTGGGAGTCAGTGGCTCATGCCTACAGTCCCAGCATTTTGGGAGGCTGAGAATCGCTCGAGGCCAGGAGTTCGAGTCCAACCTGGGCAACATAGCAAGCCCTCATCTCTACACACACACACACACACACACACTCACACAAAATTGGCTGAACATGGCAGTCCCAACTACTCAGGAGGCTGAGGCCAAAGGATCGCCCAGGATGTTAAGGCTACCGTGAGCCATAATTGTACCACTGCACTCCAGCCTGGGCAACAGAGACTCTAACTCAACAGAGAGAGAGAGACAGACAGAGACAGAGACTGACTCCCCAGATAGTTGGAGAACCCAAATATTCATGGAAATTCCCAGTTATTCCTTCTGCTATGGATTCAGGGAGAATGGTAGTGGGTGGAAAAACGAGGCCGCTGGTGGCTTTCATTACCCGAGGGGTTCTGAGTGTTTGAGAATGATGTGATGGCATAAAGGACTAGAGGCCACTGCCGGTTTTGAAGGGTGTGCAGGGGCTTTATCCCCTCCCCTGCTCCAGCTCCACCCTCCACACCTGGTTCCCTCTCTGTGTGCTTAAGACTCAGCAGAGTGCAGTGCAGCAGCTGTCTGGGGAGAACATTTGGGAAGAATGTAGAACAGCTCAGGCCCCTCGTGCTGCGTGGGAGTGGGATCACTTCCTTTTTGAATGAGATTGAGAAAGCGTGGCCCCCAGAGGTTGCCAGGGGCCAGGGAGAGTTTCCTTTTCCTTATAAACAGGAGCTTCAGACAGGGAGCAGCTCAGTGGTTTCCTTTGTAATAGGTGGTTTCTGAAAACAGGAAAATGTTTTCTCTTACTGCGAGGATTTGAAGCTTGTGCCTTGGAGGAATTGTGTCTAGACCCTGTTTGAACCTTGTGGAGGAGGAATTAGGAACATTGGCTTCAGATCCGCAAGATGGATTAGAATCTGGGCCGGACTTTGTGGCTCAGCTCGTCATCCCAGCAATTTGGGAGGCCGAAGCAAGTGGATTGCCTGAGCCCGTAAGTTCGAGACTAGCCCGGCAACCTGGTGAGACCTCGTCTCTACAATAAATCAAAAATTAGCTGGGCATGGTAGTATGCGCCTGTAGTCCTGGCTACGTGGAAGACTGAGACAGAAGGATCTCCGGAGCCCAGCAGGTCAACACTGGGGTGGCCGTGAGTGTGCCACTGCTCTCCAGCCTGGGTGACAGAGTGAAACTTCAACTCAAAAAAAAAAAAGTTATTTAAACAGGCTGGGCTCGGTGGCTCAGCCTATAATCCCAGCACTTTGGGAGGGTGAGGCAAGTGGATTGCCTGTCCATGGGACCAGCCCGGGCACCTTGGCAAGACCTTGTCTCTACAATAAATGAAAATTAACCAGGTGTGGCAGCACACACTTGTAGTTCCGGCTACTTGGAAGGCTGAGGTGGAAGGACTGCCGGATTACCAGCAAGTCGATGCTGGTGTGGCTACGAACATGCCACTGCATTCCAGCCTAGGCAGCAGAGTGACACTCCAACTCAAAATAAATAAATAAACACATAAAAATAAAAAATAGAGTCTATCTGTCCCCAAGTTTTAGCATTGTGATTTTGGCCAAGCTACTTAACCTAAATCCCAGCACTTTGGGAAACCAAGACTGGAGGATTGCTTGAGGCCAGGAGTTTGAGACCAGAAGATGGGTCAGGATGCTTTGTGATTTGGCCAAGTTACTTAACCTCCCTGGGTTTCCTAGGTTTTAATTTCCTCCGAGTGAGTTAGACTAATGTCACTACTACCGCCATCACCAGTAACAGCCACAAAACCTAGTATTTATTGAGTACTAGACACAGCATGTAACAGATAAAGCCCAACAAGGTTAGTAACGTGCTTGTCCCTCCCTTTCTCCTCCCTCACCCCTTGCAAAACACCGGTAAGTGATAGAGCCAGGATTTAATTACAGACATTGGGACACTAGAGATTCATAGAGCTGGTATGAGTTTTAGAGGAAATTATATATAAGTATTATAGTTTGCAGGACTTTGTGAACATTCAGTACTGACAGCTATTGATTGTGTCTTTATTCTCACTCTGTTCCTTTGTTTTTTTTTTTTTTTGACCCTGGGGCTTATTCTGTCACCCAGGTTGGAGTACAGTGGCATGATCATGGGTCACCACAGCCTCCACCTCCTGGGCTCAGATGATCCTCCTGCCTCAGCCTCCCAAGTAGCTGGGACTACAGGTGCCACCACCACGCCTGGCTAATGCTCCTTTTTGTCTCTTGCAGAAGCAGCTAACGCAGGATGATGACACTGATGAGGTCGAGATTGCGATTGACAACACGGCTTTTATGGATGAGTTCTTTTCTGAGGTAGGCAACCTTCCTGTATTTCTTCCCTGGATGTACACAAGGAAACACTGCTTCCCTCCCGAGATCTTTTAAGGGTAGCAGAGGAATGTCACAGTCTTCCACTGGGATGGGATGGCCAGACAGAGAAGTTACAAGGCCATTGCCTTTTCGATGCTTACTTGGGAGGGTCTGAATTTTTCATCCTAATAAGAAATTCAGCAAAGGGTCAATTATATGTAATTGAAGAGATGTTTTTAAAGTCTTATGCTGCGTGATAACTAATTTTAATGTATCCTTTCTTTCTTAAAGTATATAATTTAAATACAGAGTAAACTGCAGGATCAGAGCCATGAGTCTGAAAAACATCACACCTTTAGACCTGTGATTCAAATAGATTGAACGTGTTGTTTCCCCAAATTTTTATACTCCTTTTGACCTAATTCTGGTGGTAACTGAGAAATGACCAGTTTATTTTTGTCAAGTTGGGCAGGGGCAAAAATGGGTCACATGTCTACAGATTCACATACTCTGATCCTTGAGGTCCTCGTGGGGATGGTGCTGTCCTAAGTAGCAGGTAACACCAAGCTGGCGGAGGCAGCAGTGTACTGTGAACAGAAACACAGGCTTTGAAGCCAGGTAAACTCAGGCTCAAGTTTCAGCCTGGCTTCTGACCAGCTATTGATTTTAACATGCTGAGCCTCGGTTTCCTTATCTGTAAATTGGGACTGATAATATAGTTTCCCATAGAGTTTTATAAGGAATTAAATGGGATAATGTTTATAAAAATTAAGTGTGCATCTGGCATAGATGTGCTCAGTGCATGATACTTCAGAAAGCAAAAAAAAAAAAATCCAGAAGCCACTGTTGTTGAAGTTTCTGCCACTGTGCTCCATGGGTTTAGTTTGGGTTTTTTATTTCCCTGGAAAGAAAGCAAGAGGTGCTGTCCTCTTTCTGTGTGGAGAATGTGGGTGCTTCCTGTCCTGTAGATTGTGGACATGAAACAGTAACCCCTTGGTCCTCTGAATGGAATAGGGCTTGGCGATTCATGCCCATTAATCTGTTAGAGTAATACACGAGCTTGAGAGCAGACTTGAGCATGTGCCAGCCTGATGGGGAAGTTGACTATAAACGCTCTACAGATCCCCACCCTCCTCATGGGGAGGCCTTGTTGAGGAGACAAAGTGACAGCAGATAACTTCTGGGCTCTGTGAGTCCACTGTTCTTCCTGCTGTGAATTGTGGAAGGAAAACAGCCTTCTGTTCCTGGGTGGGAGTGGACTTAAGTGTGGGAAGTCATGGTCATGGTAGCTTGTCCTGACAGTCTTGCCTTGGAGAACCAGAAGGCGTTAAAGAACTTCTTCCCCAAGATAAGGCATCCTTTCCAGTAATTGTGTTCTCCCTCTTCTCCTGAACCAGCTAAAGGATCCCTGAGAGGCAGTGTGCCTTGTTGGGTGGCAAGATGGTAGGCTTTGACCTCCTCATGTGGTTTGAGTTCACACTCAAGCACTTTACAGCCATGAGACCTTGGTCAGGTTTATGTCACAACGTGGGCTCCTTGGCTTCCAAAAAGATCCCAGTGATTCATAGCAGTTGTCTTTTCCCTGTTTAGGCCTCAGGTCCCCATTTATAGAATAAAAGGGTTGGGCTACCTTCCTGAGTTTTACTTTCCTGCTCTGGAACTTGGGAATATTGGCACCTACTTTCCAAGGTTGTTGTGAGGGTTACATGAGATCACATGCCTAGACAGCATTATCTAGTGTAAAGTGCTGGATGGATGACAGCTAGTTTATTTTTATATTTTATTTTTATTATTATTTGTTTTAAATTTTAGGTCCCAGGGTCCACATGCATGTTCATTATAGGGACATACCGTGTAGTGGTGGGGTTTGACTCTAGTTTCTGAGCCTTAGTCCCCCTTCCCACCTCCCCCTTTACTGGTATCCCCAGTGTCTGTTATTTCCATCTTTGTGACCATTTGGCTCCCACGCATGAGTGAGAAAATGCAATGTTTGGTTTTCTGTTTTTGAGACAGTTCACATAGGATGACGATCTCCACCTCCATCCATGTTGCTGCAGAGAACGTGATTTCACTCTTGTTTATGACTGCGTAGTATTCCATGGTGTATGTATGCCACATTTTGTTTACCCAGGCACTTGTTGGTGAACACTTAGCCTGGTTCCATGGTTTTGCAATTATGAGTGGTGGACAGCTGGTTTTAAAGAGGTTCTTTAAAGACTTAGCACGGCCTCCAGGGCTGCTTCGTTTCTTATCACTTTTCCTTTATTAAATGCTTTTCTGTCAGTCAGGGAAAGCCCTGAAACCCTGCTATATTTAGGGGAGAGAAGGGGGCAGCATGGGGAGGTGGGAATAGCGTGGTCTTTGAAATTAAATTCCATGTGTGACACTAACTATGATCTTGGCCACGCTCCTCAACCCCTGCACGTCTCAGTGGGTTTTTCTGTGAAATGGGGACAAAAATACTCACCTCACAGGTTTTTTGAAGATCAAAGGAGCTAACACCCAGCCAGTGCTCCGCATGGGCTCAGGCAGTGTCACTGTCCTCCTTTCTTGATGGAGCACAGAGAGGGCAGGCCTGGGGGAACGAGGCAGAGGCCAGAGGGAGTAGAACATGCAGGCTTTGGTCCCATGGACCCTGGTCCGAATCTCAGCTCTGCCCATTGCTGGGGGAGTAACTTTGGACAAGTTAACTATTCTAGACCCCAGTTTCCTCTAAGCCACGGCTAGTCCCTGCTGGGTTTTGTGGATATAGAATGAGAAAGGGTGTGGATGCACCTAGCACAGTGTCTGGCGTCTGGTAACTATGTTTTCAGCAAATTTTAGTTCTTATCACCATTCTGTCCCCCAGTGTACTTGTACATAAATAGATCACAGCATCACATTTATTTTACAGAATGTGGTCTGGAAAAATCCTTGAAATTGGGGTAAAGAACATTCTGGATAAGGGGAATTTGGGGAAAATGTTGGGGGAGTTTCACACTCTGTGGCATATAGCTTAGTAGCTTTCATGGGACAGCGCTGTTTTGATCAAACTTGCTTTATGGACTAGTTCCAAGTCCCTTGATTATTTGCTGAGAACTGATAGCACGAATCACAACTTGGCCATAGAGGCATTTACAAGGTGCAAAGTCACAGGACCAGGATGTTTTCAGAATGTGATTTGCACTGGAAGATTTGAATGACTTCTCCAGCTTCTTGGTTGTTAGAGAGAAGAATTGGACCTCGGGTTTTTAGCCCCTGTCGACTGATCCAACCAGAGCTGGTGAATGATAAACTCCACATTTTTGTCTAATGTGCAGTTGTCTATATTTTCCTTGGTCGGTTTGATCAGTTGGCAGAGAGAACAAAGTTTCACAAGAAATATACCTGTCTTCAGAGGCAAAAATCTTAGGGGTTTATCGTTCTATCAAAATATAGGAGTGCTCGCCAGACTTGCAAGGCAAGTGGATTGCCTGAGCCTGCGCGTTCGAGACCAGCCCAGGCAATTTGGCAAACCTCATCTCTACAACAAATAAAAAATAGCCAGGAGTGGTAGGTAGCACATGCCTATAGGAGTGCTTCTTGTCTTCTAGACATGTTAGATGCTGGGTTTCCTTTCCCTCTGGTGTCTCCTTATCTGGTGAGAGTGATAAAATTTCTTTTTTTTTTATGTTGGGGTCTCACTCTGTTACCCAGGCTGGAGTGCACTGGTATGATCACAGCTCACCACAGCTTCAGCCTCCTGGGCTCAGGTAATCGTTCTGCCTCAGCCTCCCGATTAGCTGGGGCTAAAGTGTGTGCCACCATGCCGGCTAATTTTAAAAATTTTTTGTAGCAATGACATCCCACTATGTTGCCTAGGATGGTCTCTGACTCCTGGCCTCAGGCAATTCTTCTGCCTCTATCTCCCAAAGTGCTGAAATTATAGGTGTGAGCCACTGCACCTGGCCAGTGATAGAAATTTTTAAAGAATTGTCACGTGGTCATAGACATGTCAACAATGTACTGTGGAAGTACAAAAGAAGCATTTGATTCTGCCTGGAGAGAGGAAAGTTTCCCTGGCTCTTAACCAGATTTGCCATTGGAATCACCTGGGGAGCTTTTCTGCACATACATAACCTGATTCACAGGAACTGGAATGGCTCAGACTTTCAAATTTTTAGGAAGTTCTTCCATACTGTTCTGCTGCCTACTGCAGTTAGGATCCACTGCAAAGTGATGAGGGGAGCCTTTGAGGGATCGAAGTGTGTTTTAGAAAAATCACTCTGATGGCAGTTTGTGGAAGGTGGCAAAGACCAGAAATGGAAAGACCAGCAAGTTGTGTGATGGAGCCTGTGGGAAAAGCACAAGGACTTTGGCCTGAGTCTGTGACTGGCAAGGCATTAATATATTATTTAGGGTTGCTTTTGAGTAACTGTGGCTTAAGCACTAAAGGGATGCAATTATTTCACATATGAAGGAGTTTGGAGTTAGGGATGGTGCTGTGGTTGAAAGGTGTTGGGGTTCTCATTCAGCATTTCTGTGATCCTCTCGGCTTTTCCCTTAGGATTGCAAGATGGCATCTGTTCTGACTGTCTATTGCTGTATCACAAATCGCCCCAGCAGGTTGTGGTATAAAACAGCCATTTTGGGGCAACCTCCTTGGGTCCCCTCCCATTCTGGGAGCTTTTGTGTCCTCTCAATAAATCCTACTTTCTCAAAAAAACAAAAACAAAAAACAACTATTATGTTCCACTGACAGATTCTGGGGATCAGGAATTTGGACAGGGCAGGAGTGAGTTACTACTGCTCCACAATTTCTCGGGACTTTATTGGCAAGACTTGAACATCTGGATGCTGGAAGCTTACAGAGACTTCTTTATTCTTTTTGTAGAGACGAGGTCTTGAACCCGCGGGCTCTGGCAATCCACTTGCCTCAGCCTCCCAAAGTGCTGGGATTACAGGCTGAGCCACTGAGCCCAGCTAAGACTTCTTTATTCTAATGTCATGTGCTTGGGCTGGGGTGACTCGAGGAAAAAGTTCAG